AGAACAAATGGCAGATTTTATCGCGGTTGAACTAGAAAAAAGACGTAGCGGGAATTTGCAGATTTGTCGTCCGAGCTTCGATTAGGACGCAAAATACCATTTCGGAAAGGGAACGACGCCATGAGTCAAACTCACCGCTTTGCTATGATGTATGATGGATTTTGGCATCCTGAGGTCGTTTGGCCTTCTAAAACTGCATTCAAAGTTTCGTAGTTAATTTTCGGAATACATTCTGTTTTTCAGTTTTAATGTAATAACTCCCCTAGCAGCTCAAGGGTTGAGAGATGTGTATTTAGACAGATTTGGTGAACGTTTTTGATCATCTCAGATTTTAATAAAATTATCCTAAGAGAATTCCTCTTAATTCCTTGTGGAATTCAGATTTCTTGTTACTCAAGGTTTTTGTTTGAAACATTTGTTGCTTGTGCTGTGTCACATTAACAGTATCTGATAAACCAAGACACAGAGAGAGAGAGAGAGAGAGAGAGAGAGAGAGAGAGAGAGAGAGAGAGAGAGAGCTTGAAACCTAGCTAAATTGCGTGCATGAATGTTTGTGTCTAAAAAGTTGAGTTGTGCTTCTAGAGTTTAGTTTTGTACCACTTTCCTGGGTAGTTCTAGGAGACTTCAAGAGGGGAAATTCATGGTCACCATTACTTTAAAAAGATATGAGAAGTCATGCATCAAATTATACGCATGAAATAATGAAATTGGTGTGGGGGACAATTAGACGCGGAAGGAAGGATCATATATATGGCCTTATTCACCATCCAGCGGGGTCAAGACTCTCAAAGTCAACCAGGGAAGTTTCCATTGTATTACAATCAAATTTTCAGTTTTATATTTCCTTCTTATTCCCCATGAGCCATCTTCTTCCAAGGGAATGTCAAATGATAAAGAAAGCATGTTGATGCATCATAAACCACCTATTATTTATTTCAAAGCCCCTGTTTTAATTTATAATCCAATAAATTTATGATCCAAAGGACATTTTACATGATGCAAACTCAAAAATCTAAATCAAATAAAACACAGCAGAGCAAACAAACAATAATTTTTTTACTTGTACAGATCAAAATAATTAAAAAGATACACCAAGACCAACATAAAGATTGTTACAATTAATCCTCCTGTTGCTGCAGAGCAGAACTCAAATGTCAAAGTGGGAAGATGGAAAAAGCTAGATACGATTGTAAATGAAAGAAGAGGGAAAGACACCTACACAGTTTCAGCTTTTTTTTTTTTTGACTTCCAACGATGCTCCATCATTTAGAGTTTCCTGCGCATCATTGTCCATCCCTAGGCTCTTTAGGGCAGCTGCTTGAAGATAGAAGTCAGTTGGCCATTCAGGGTTTATTACTAGGGCTTGCATAGTGTGGGAGCAAATTTCCTCATGAGAATATTCGATTGGAAGGATTCTCCTTTCTTCTTCGCCGCCTCTTTCTCCCTACAAAATAGAACAAATAAGAGGACTACACCTTGGGGGTGTTGGCCAAAGGCTAAATTAGTTCAATTGAATCGTATAGAAAACAATAGCTAATAGGGTTCGAAGATGTGCTTATGGTGTGAACCGGGCGGCCGAAGCCTTATATAAAAGAGAGAGAAAGAGAGAGAAGAGGTGGCTAGGGTTTGTGAGAGGAATTTTCTGCAGAGTTTCAGTAGAGATTTCAAACGTACCTCAACCTTTGTGTGTTGCCATCTATTTATAGTGGTCTCGGAGGCTAGGGTTTTAAAGGAATAATTCCATAGATTGAAAAGAATTATTCCTCTCTGATTTAGCGAGATTTGATTTATTTGATTTAAATCAAATGCCTAATTGGGGTAGGAATCAAATCAATCCCAAATTAATTAGGTAACTCCCTATTTAATTGGGTAACTCCCAACTAAATTGAGTAACTCCCAATTAGGTCAAATAATTCCCAAATGGAAGGAATTATTTGACCTAGGGTTTTGATTTAATTCGGTTCCCACAAATGCCCCCCAGCTACTGCATGGTACGTGGTGGCATGTAGGAGATGTGAATTATCTATTAGGCTGTCCAGTTGTAACTGGGCTTCCTCCTTGGATTTGGGCTCCTGAGCGGAGGAGGTGTTTGACTTTCTAATTTTCTGAACACCCAGTTAGAATGAGCTTGAGATTCCTTGTTGACCTAGGATGCCCATCCAGTATAAGTGCAGGGCTTCTTTTTACTCTTCTTCACATCGCAAACTTAACTTCTCTACTTTCTAGCTTGAGAGAGATCTTGGAGAATTTGTGCTGCTCGTCGAAGAGAGGAGTCATCGTGCATCCCAAGATAAGTCGAGCATGTATATTTCTTTTTTTTTCTTTTTTTTTTTGTGACAAGGTCTAGCTGAGTGGAGCCCGGCTGGTTGTCGTCGTGGTGACGGCTGGCAGTGAGCACCAGTCGTGGTGGAGCAGGTGCGCACAAGTGGACCAGCTGCTTCTTATCGTCGCAGGTCTAGGCTGGAGCCTGCTTGGCCTCATGCGTTGCAAGCCGCTCAAGTTAAGTGAGTATTAGGAGGAAGTACGGCGTCTACCCTTGCCCAGGATGTTGAGAGATGGAAGCAGAATAGTCTAGACTCTGATGATCTGCCTACTGGACAGGAAGAGTGTTCTGCTGGAACCCCCCTAAAAAAAGAACGTTGTTTGCCAAGTCTTCAAGAGATAAAGCTACTTTTTCGCAGGCGAAGAATGTGTCTCCATTGAGAAAGAAGCCAAAGTTCCCTTATGCTGAGAAGACTCAAGTGAGATATGTTCCATCATTATCTGCCAAGGTCAAACATTTTGTTGGTGCAGATAGCTAGAAAGTTGGTGGTATGTGCAGTGTTTGGGGTGTTCTACTTGAGCCTCTTGCTAACAAGCTTGAAAACCATGATCTGCTCCATGAAATAGCTCGTGCCTGATCTCATTCTGCCGAGCGTCAAAGATATACAGATATTCCTTTTCGAAGTTCGAGTTGTCTGCATTAGTCAAAGGATGAAGATCGAAGTGAGATGTCTGCTCATGATCCAGTTGTTGAGTCACGAGCAGCCAAGCGTGGAGTTGATTTAGCATTATTGACTCCTTTAGAGGTAAGGTTGGCAGAGGCTAAAAAGACGAGTGAGTCATCTGCCCAGGTGAAGGGATCTTCAGCGTCGGCGGTTGATCCCAAGATGAACAAGTCCAGCCCTGCAAGGGATGCATGCGTGTCTGACCTGCTCCAGACAACTTTCTATCAAACTCGTCATGCTGTGTTGAGTTGGTTAATCGTATCCGTCAGGCCGACGATCATAGCACCTTCTCGAGTCTTTCCTTGGAAAAATGAAGTGAAGCAACATTTCATTTGCTTCAAAAAAGAGTAGTTTTTGCTGCTGAGACTATCCAAAACTCTTTTACTATTGCCCTATCTCCT